AACTAAATTAAGATCATTTCATTTGTTTGAAACATACTCATGACATAAAAAAGAGCAGTTTCGAGTATCTTTTTTCTTCATGATCTCTATTTAAAAGCCTAAAGAAAGCCGGTTGAGAATGAACAGTCTGTTAAAATTTCAAACTAGATATTGATTTGTTAATTTAAAAATGTATCTCTAGTTAATTCTGTGAATGAATACATGAATTAAAATGGTTTGGATTACTTTTTCTGGTTAGCGTTTTTTTAACGAGTTAGTTTTTTTCTGGTGGGATGGGGTCACCAACCCCATGCCCAACCCTTCTCCTTTATCCAGGCTTGGGACCGGCAGTGGCCCCAGAAGGGTCTACAGGCGAGGTTGAATCAACCCATAATCTGTCTAATAAACTATATAAGTTGATCTAGTGAAGTTTTATTTAAACGTTAACTATCTTCATTATGTTCATTTGTGGTAGCCTGTGTTTTATCCAGCCGTTAGTTAATAACAGTTGAGTTTTTCTTATAACTATGACTGTTAACCATGATTCACATTTATGAATTTTTCATTGCCATTTGTGAGATGCATTTTTTTTTTATCTAACAGACTATAATTACTATGTAAAAACCATTCTTATCCCATGGAGATAATCTTTCATTTCCTAAAGTGAAAATTGGTGAGTGAGAACTGGATAGAACAAAGTGCACAGTGATCATTAAAATGAGAAAAAAACACCTGATTTCTGAAGAATCTTGAAGTTAACAAATCTAGGGCAAGTGGATCATCGTAAACGAAGTGTATTTTATGGGCTCATGATCAGCCTATCTCATAGTTTGTTAGCTGGTTGAAATTTTATGATTACTGGTTAAAAATATTTTTAACGGAAATAATACGTGAATACAAACTTAAGCCAACTGAAATTATTTTCTCTAAGGATTTATTGCAAGCGGTCACTGAAACCGGATATGTGAATAATCGTTTGTTTTGTTTTTTTCATGCATTTCAGATCTCTTTCTATTACAGACTAATTATCACTGAAATGGTATTTCTGTTATTTCAGAGAATAGTCATGAAATTTGGGGTGGAAAAAATTCTAATCGTACAATAATGAGAATTAACTAAAGAAAAATATTAGCCATTGGATACTGTTTCACTATCTTATAAACAGCTAGTAATCACAATGAAACTTCAAAGTAATGAATTCCATTCAGCCGTTACTAAGTCATGTGCGTGATCAAATAATCTTAAAAAGAAATTCATTTGTTGAATAACTACCGGGTTTCTTTCACTTGTACTCTAGAAGGCTTGAACTATGGAAAAAAAAACACTTTATTACAAAAAAGTGGATTCTAACAGTTATAAACCGTAAAAGAAAGTTCATCACTATGAAACATTACATCCTAAACATCACTTTGAATATGATTTTGTTTTATTAATAAGACTTTGCAACTGATCTGTTCAAGGAAGTAGTTAATTATAAAACAGATAATCAATAGTTGATACTATAAGCTAACAGCAATATACCTTAATAACAGTATATTTACTTTCATATAGTTAGTCATATGGGCTAGAGAAAATACATTTCTACTTTATACTAATCCTAAGGACAGTGTTTACCATTTAGTTAGTTTAATTCTCCTTCGAAGTTAACTAATAAATTTTAAATACAATTTTCTGAAAGATTTTTCTTCATTTTCTTCTGTTATACGGTAATTTAACTTCAAGTGTTTTTTAAACTCGTCTCTACAAAACTTTTCAAATCTAATTCTACAGTGTAATTCTGAAAGTCAAATCTCCTACCTAAACTTTTGCATAATAGTACTGTATAGTGGTGTTTATAGAGAAGCTTGGCCAGCAGATGTCAAACATGTTCTGAATGAGACAATTATTTATCGATTATGTCGAAGGGTTGTTCAGCAAAATCATGAATCGATTAAACGTAAATGTGTATACAATCGGTGACCAACTCACTGATCTAATTAACAAGCAAGATCCGAAGGTTCAGGGTTCGATCTCTGACAGTACAGTTGTGAATGGGTACTGCTGAAGAGCTCTATACCAAAAAGAAATAGATATTCAGTGCTTTCTAAATTCCAAAGATTCTTTTACCAAGATTAGCTTGTTATGTTTGCTATCATATATCATATTATCTTGTCATTTCTTTAAAATTCACTGATCGATCTGTACAGTATTTTATAATGATATAATGTGAATCTGTTTACCTAAAAATAGCATCGTTTCCTTGTAAGTATGTACATTCATCAACATGTTCAGAGTTAAGAAAATTGATCTTTCAAACAAATAGGTTTTAGGCAGTTTATTAGATGTGCATTATCACTATCTATGAACTAGTAACACTGGGATCCACAATTAACGTTCTGTAAGGGTCACGATAGTTAGATATAATTATGAAATACACCATAATTGATATATACCTAAAATATCAAGATACACAGTTAGAGTATGTGAATATCCCAGTACAGAAACGGATCAAAAATGTAGTTTTAATTACTAACAATTATAGATTCATTATTGATATATTGTACATGTATTGGCTATTCAATAGAATAAACTGTCACCGGGATTTCTACTGAATATTTTTTCCGATTCATTCATCCAAATGATTTAGATTTAGGTTTTACATTTTTTATATATTTAAGATTTGCTGAAAGCTAAAATAATATTCAATATTAATGTGATATTGTTGGGTAAGTTAGATCCCCAGAACTCACTTGATTAAGGTAAGGATTTTATGGTTTCGCGCATGGGTTGATCAGTTGACCCTGAGATTAAAATTCCCACCCTCAAAATCCTTGGCTGTTATTGGTTGACGTATTATTTTTGCTTTTGTGGCTCTCATAAGGACGTTTATATTTTTTATTATTTGTTAATGTGTCATTTTATTACGCTATTTTTTCGGCTGTCCTATTTTGTATAAACAAACTTGATTTGTGGGTTTATCAACCTTATATTTTTCGGATGCTAGTAGAATACACTCTCTACGGCTTGTCAAGACTTCTTCCGTTACTTAGTGGGGCCTTGTAACGCTCGGATTAGTGTAGCCTATCGTGTCATTGGATCGTTTGTCTTCACTCTCATTTACTGACTAAGGTGAACTCGTCATAGTTTCAGTCATATCAATTGACGAGTATAACAGATATATAACTGAGTACAGCATTTTCTATTATTGTAAATGCAAACATTTTTCATCACAAACTAATCACTGAGTGATTTTTGTTCATTGATGCAGAAGAATAAATAAATAATGAATAGGAATCTTTCTTATTTCATTTAAAGATTTATTTATATAACAATCATATATATAAATCATTTGCAAATGTGTGTTTTTTGTTGTTGGAAAAGCTGTTGTAATTAAATTATCTGACTGACATTATTTGGGTAGAAAGTTTCAAGTGTAATACAGTTTTCACTGATCATGGAATATGGCGTGGATCATCTACTACGCTCTTTCTTTCTGTTGATCAAGTAGGTCACAGTTTCAACTCCTCTCACTAGTCATTTAATTCTAGCTCATAATGCAAGACTATTATCAATCATATTTATACATTTGAAATCATCAATCAATCATTGTTAGACCACCATCATTAGACCATCATTATTTTGTCATTATGTTTGCATGAATCGAAATGCTTAGGACAACATTCATTTTCCTTCACTCTCCTGCCATTAAGTTTAGTGTCTGGTAAATTTTTTTAACTTTTGATCATTTGTTGTTATTCACGTTCCTTACTTATTATTCATTTTCGACTTTTGACTAGTTGTCAACAAACAAGAACAGAATGAAAAATGTTACACAATGATGTTGTGAGTTATATACCTTAATTTCTATTCCCCTTTCATTTCATAGCCTTGTACTCATTGTCGTAATGTCATTATCTTTTAATGTACACTGAGATGAATAACTCTTCCCCCTGAAACGTGAACAATTTTATTTAAAATGCAAGCATATTGGTCATTTGAATAGATGAGATTAACATTATATAACGAGCAGATCACCTAGTTCACGGCTTCCGTTTTGCTTAAATTCTTTAAAAAATAGAATTTATGCAGTTTAGTAATTCATCATTATCCTTATCATTATCGCCATTATCACTAGAATTATTATTATTTTGTTGACTGACTGGATGAATGCATCATCTCGGATTCGACAGCAATTTACCAACCTGTGTCACTTATAATGTAGGCGAGGTATCCATTTACTAACCAAAGAACGAGTGTAATGTGCAGCAGTTCGCTCCGTCCTACTATATGGATACGAAACATGGCCGTTAAGAGTAGAGGACATTCGTAGGGTGCTCGATCATAAGCATACTAAAAGCATTGCTTGTGTATCATGGGACAACTGAGCAAGCAATGCTGTCATTAGGAAACGGGTACTCAGTAAGGATGGCAGGCCAAAAGATGGAGAATCGAAACTTCATAAGTTGAGGTGGTTCAGATGTGTGTTACGTATGCCTAACCACCGACTGCCTCGACGAGCGATGTTTTATGGTGTAGGAGTAGGTTGGAAGAAAGCTAGGGGCGGCCAGACCAAAACATGGCACAAATCCATGGCGTCACTGACAACTGAACTGAGCCATGTTGGTAGGTGTCGACTACCTGGTTGGGGTCAGCTAGATGACAGTAATCGATGGTTAGGGACCCTGAGTGACATGGCTCAAAATCGTTTGCAATGACACAAGGTCATTCATTCTTTGTGTTCTCTCAAATCCTAACCTTCTGAATTCCTCATCATCTTTATCCTTTTATTTCTAAGTTTATTTCACTAGATTCTACTTATGGAATAATATCCTCGAACCTTGATTTCTCCGATTAATTCTAATACTCTTACTACCTCTACCACCATGGGATTTGAAGTGACAATTGAGTCTCTGTGCTAGTGAGGTATGGCAACTTGGACTGATGTACGTACGTACGAAGTTCTACGTTTCTATTGATTGATTGATTGATTGTCAAAGAATTTCATTATTTCGTTTCTGTCATTGTTGACATAATCGATAAAGTTAATTTTTTTCATACCACATTAAGTAACTTACGGTTAATACAAAAACTTTAATGTAAGTGAAGAAGATGAATACAAGAATAAATATGCAATATGTGTCTGTCCGCATTTTGAACTTTAAAGATGTTACATGTTTTTTGTATGCACGTTTTAAATAACTACTACTACTACTACTACTACTACTACTACTACTACTACTACTACTACTACTACTACTACTACTACTACTACTACTACTACTACTACTACTACTACTACTACTACTACTACTACTACTACTACTACTACTACTACTACGACTACGACTACGACTACGACTACAGTCAAGTAAACCATTTATACTGTGAGTGAAATTTTGAGTAACATTGTGATAAGACCTTTGTACCATATTTATCAATATGATTACACAGATTTATGAACAGTTGATCAAGACAAAATATTACAAACAAGGATTCATAAATATATTTATTTAAATCAAAAAAGTTTTATCCTATTTTTGTATGCACTATACAAATTATAGTACTTTCATTCATTTTAAACAATAGTCTATTATTATTATAATCAAATGATGTAATTTAAGCAGTCTTTATTCTATTTAGTTGTATAGAACTCGTGTTAACTTCCATTATTTAAAAATAAATAGATAGTTTTGTAGATAGCTTTGTAAATAATTCTTAGTTATCTATTCACACTAGTGACTAGTTTTTATATCGATCAATGTGAAGTTAGCATCATTTTGTTTAAATTTACTAGCTATGAAAAAGTAGAATGCTATTCGAATCTTACAATCAATAGTTCAACAAATTCAACAGTCACAATCAACAAGTTAATATTTCAAATTTTATCGTTTTTTTTTTCGAAATCCAATAAATAAGTTCTATCATTTATGAAATATTATTCTTTACAAAAAATATAGCATAATTAAAACGGTAACTGAAACAAACTGGACAAATTGTAAAGTGATTGTAGTTTCATTGATGGATTATAGAAGTAAATTTCTCTCAGGCATTTCCCTGTAATGTATTGTATTACTGGTATCAATAAGACAAGTTATATGTTAAACAGAATATGAATATCACTCAGCACCAGTATCTGGCTTCATTTTAGTAATCAGATTTATAGTGTGATCATTCAACTAAGTATGACAGATCGTAACTATTAGACAAGTTTCAAATGCATTCATTTATCAAATGTATACACAACTTTATAGAAATTACTGATTAGTTAGTTAGTTGATGAAGTAGAATTATCATTTGCTTAAGTCATAAGTCAATGAAGTTAAAGGATATTGAGTTTATGTTCTATCCAATTGCAAGAGCATCCAGATTTAGGAAGTTTTAAAAATATGAAGGAGTCGTTTACGTGCCACATACATCAGGACGATAGGAGTCAGGATTTTAAGTCAAAGAATTTCTGGAAATAATACAACTTGAGTTCGATTCCTATTATGGAATAATATAAACATAGGAACAATAAAGCTTACTCGCACCCTTTCTCTTTCTCCTGGTGATCGAATGGATTATGAAGACGTCAACATCTGGAGGGAAGCACGGTATTCAGTAGACAGCTAGGACTCAGATGGACGATCTGGACTTCGCAGATGACTTGGCTATTCTATCGCACACGCAACAACAAATGCATGAGAAGACGACCAGTGTAGCAGCAGCCTCTGCAGCAGTAGGTCTCGACATACATAAAGGAAAGAGCAAAATTCTCCGATGCAACACAACATGCACCAACCAAATCACTCTTGATGGACACGCCTTGGAGGACATTAACACCTTTACATATCTGGGCAGCATCATCGACAATCAAGGTGGATCCGATGCAGATGTGAGGGCGCGGATCGGCAAAGTAAGGGCTACATTTCTACAGTTAAAAAGTATCTGGAAATCCAAACAACTTTCAACCAAAACCAAAGTCAACATTTTCAATACAAATGTGAAGACAGTTCTACTGAATGGAGCAGAAACTTGGAGAACTACCAAAGCCGTCATCCAGAAGGTACAAGTGTTTATTAACAGTTGTCTACACAAAATACTTCGGATTTGTTGGCGAGACACGATCAGCAACAACTCACTATGGGAGAGAACAAATCAGATTTCAGTGGATGAGGAAATCAGGAAGAAGCGGTCGAAGTGAGTAGGACACACACTATGAAAAGCACCTAACTGCGTCATAAGACAAGCCCTCACTTGAAACCCTCTAGATTGAAGGAAAAGAGGAAGGCCATGGGACACAATACGCCAAGAAATAGAGAAAGACATGAGAAGAATGAAGAAAAATTGGAGAGAACTGGAAAGGGAAGCGCAGGCTATAGTTAGTTGGAGAAAACTGGTCTGCGGCCTATGCTCCATCGGGAGTGACAGGCGTAAGTAAGTAAGGAACAATAAAAACCACAGAGTATATAGTAGATATGTTGCCATGAATATGTATCCGTTAAATTATCACATACTAAGCAAGAACAAGTGTTCTCTCTGATTCTTCTTCTTCAAGTTAGTACAGTCAACTATTGATGAATATGTGTTTTCTAACAATTTGACCAAGGCCTATACTCAAAATTATATCATTCTACAAAGGATAGCTTAATGCATCAACTCAGCATAACTTCTACTAATAGCATATCTTCCTATTATATTTTTACAAACATAAAATTAAAATAATATATGCTCTCTATTTTTGAGCAATTGTATAATTCGACCCTGATTGATTTGAATGATATAACCTTAAAAAAAAATACTTGTTTTATATCTATCTATTCCATCCTGTTAGAATTAGAAAAAGTATATATCTTTATTATTCTATATGAATATGAATCAGGGCAAAGAAAAATTACAGGTAGAAAGTGTCCTCAACATTGTTTTATTCAGTTGAATAAAAACTAACTAACTAACTGACTGACTGACTGGTTAGATGAATATAATACAATGAATAGGAAAGAGAAAATAAGGGAAAGTTTCAATAGATATACATAACATATATATATATATATATATATATATATATATATATATATATATAGTTGTCTATATAACTATTGCTTGTAGAGATGTGGTATGGTTAGATGAAAGTGAGTATTATAACATAGTGAAATAAGCAAAGTTGTTGTTGTTGTTGGTGTGTGTGTGTGTGTGTTTGTGTAGCTGAACATTTTCTATCCTGGTTGTTTAATGAATGATTACGTGTAGTACACAATATGTCCACAGTAATGCATTTATTTTTCATTTTCATTGCCCAAACAATAAAATAAAAAAGAAAATAGAAATAACCTATTAATGTTGACCTTATAAGGACAATGGGAAGAATGGAAAGATTATCTGAATTTTATCTAAGCGTAAACTACTACTACTTCTACAACAGCAACAACAAGCATATTGGATACCCACTCACACACACACACAATCACACATGCATAGATCAACCTACATTACAGAGATTGAAAAGTATACGACAAAATAGAAAATAAAAGAAAAAAACGGAAGAGAGAGAAAGAGTTTGTGTGTACATTAAGAATAATAGCACTGACATTATTTGTGAAATTGTTTGAAATCACCAAAAAGATATTATGATTATTATTTTTTGTTTTAAACAAGGTTAATCCTCTAAATAATACACTATGATAATAATAATAATGTTTTAGTTTTGAACGAAATCTTTTTTATTTTTTTTCAGTTTCTGTTTTAGTACAAATTACAGTTTTATGTGGTGTACAGGACTGTATTATTATTATTATTATTATTATTGACATACTCGTTAGGTTGTGTTGTATTCTGTTGTGTATCTTAGTTACGCTTATTTGGTGTGTTAGAAAACAAAAAAAATAGAAAACATTACTAACGTCAACCATAATATCATGTGTTGTTTTAAATATGTATAAATTAGTTCATTTTTTTCTTCTTTTCTCCTTTTTTTTTCTTTTCTCTACAAAATATTTTGTTGTTTGAATATGATCTATTCATTAAATGAATAAATTAGAAAGTTTTGCATTTTTTTCTTTGTAAAAGTGCTTATATTATTGGAGAAATTGTGTGTGTACTTTAAAATTTAAAAAAATTCAAATAACTTAAGGGAAAGTTGTTTATTTTTGCTCTCTCTCTTCATAGAATGGTTTTATTCTTGTAACTTTCCCACATTCAGTATAATGAACAGATCTGTGAAGATCGGTAGGGGATAATGATGCTATTGCAGAGCTGCGTTGAGACTTGTAAAAAGTTAGCACATAAATGTGTCGTGTCGTTGGCCTTGTTAATAACAAGAGTAAGAAACGGGAGTAATAACTGCTTGTTGTTGAAGGCGATTGAATTCTTCATCTACTGTTGTTAGCGTTGCATAAGGCACGGGTCTCTTTGGATGGAAAGCAGGCTTAGCCCTCGGGTTTCAACCGAAGTGTTGCTTTCATGACAGTACACTGACCTAATCCATGTTGGAAGATGGTTGAAAACTACGTCATTAGATTCCTCGTATATGCTTCGGGGTCATGTAGTCGTGATATATTCATGTTCTTTCTAGACAAACTAATCAACATAAACTTGATTAGGAAGTGAATTAATTGAATTTTTTATTATTCTGTCAGCTCAAATTTGTTTGGCGGTTATTAAATTTTAAGCAGACAAATGACAACTCAGTGGACATAACACATTGTTGGTTATTTGCAAACAGATTTTAATAACTCCTCTTTTCTTTTTCTGAAGTTTCAACTGATACACACTGCTTAGAAGTATATAATGAACACTTTAAGATTAGATCATCTACTTCAGAGAGTATAACTTGATTAAAAAGAACTGATAAATATCCTATTGTCAATGCTGACGAAATAGAAATATGGTTGAATGGAAATCAACAGCTTATTTGTTATAGAAAATAGATCAATATTCAAGATTTGCTTCGCATGAATTATTATCGAGAAATAGTTTCAAATTTTATTAAAATGATGTACAAACAGCTGTAAAAAGTAACAGTGACTTCTATTAGGTACCTTAATTGTAAGGTTAAGTAAGGTAAATTTAATCTGATCGTCTGTATGGAATTGACAAATGCTTAAAAGGTAACTTCAACATACACCGACAAAATATGTGCATAATAATCGTAAATAGTGGCGAACAACAGGAGTGGCAGTGGGAATAACAAAACAGACCTTAAAGAATGAGAAACGACAATCCACTTATTGGACAGACAACAGAACAATTGAATTACTGAATAGGCTAGTTTTCATTAGTCTATCAACAGTTTCATTAGGAAACACACAGTCTCAACAACTTTATATGAGTTAAAACTAACATACGAACATACAAGTGCCAGTCAACTGAAGACGTTTTTAAAGATGATCATGGAGTATTGACAATTAAACTGATTTAAATAATAGCTAGCTAGCTAGTTTGAAAGTTAAAA